TATATCTCTAAGCTAAAAGGAAGCAATCAAATCAAAGCTTTGGGCTTAAATAATAACATAAAGCACATTGTTATTTGAAAGAAATCTTCAACACAAAGAAAATAACCATCTGGATGGTATGTTTTAAAGATAATCTTAACATGGGAGGAGAAGAGTGGGAAGTTACATCTTTTAAGGCACTTAATCTCATTATTTTGCTAATATCTGTGGCAGCTTGTCAACAGTATAGAAACATTACAGCCACTAGGTGGCAGGTTAAAAAAAAACAGGTTTAAAAAGAAAAAAGAAAAACCCAAGCTAAGCATGCAGGTGCAAATTTAGTTACTGACTAGGGCAACAGATCAAAAGTACCAACAACCCACCTCTTCCAATTCTACACTGTCAAGAAGCGTGATTAAATGGAAAAAATCTAAAGTAGGCCTGGCCTTGCAAGGGTTGGGTCTGAAGACAGTCTACTTTTCACTACTGATGATATTCTAAGAAAGCTGAGATTTGGACAGTCACACTATAACCCCAGGTATTAGATCAGGAATGGATATGAAGCAGGTACTCAGGATGAACAAAGAAACCTTCATTTCTTGAGTTTAGTGGGTGTGCAGGAAAAATAAAGTATCCAACCCAGCTGGGGGGCTCATTTGTTGAGCATTCCTCCTGTACACAAAAAGGCTGCCAGTTCGATTCCCAGTCAGGGTACATCTGTAGGTTACAGGTTCATCCCTGGTCTGGGCGCGTATAGGAGGCAGCTGGCCAATGTTTCTCTCACACAAATGTCTCTTCCCCCCCCTCCCTAAAATCAGTGAAAATATCTTTGGGAGAGGATTAAAAAAAAAAATACACCGATACGGAATGTGCCTGCCCACCACTCTCACACCCCACAACCCTGCACCCCAAAATACTACCCGCACGAGCAGGAAGTGAGAACAGGGAACAAGGCCTCACGCTCCACCCCTCCTCTGCATCTTGGCTGGAACGTCACAGACATGACCCTCACTGACCACCTGTTCCCCTGCTCCCCCTCCCCCACGTCCTATAATTGGGAGGACCAAAAAGAAACCAGAGAGGAGAGGCAGGGAAGAGCAGAGTCAGCAGTCACCCCACCAGTGTCAGAAGCCGAGTACCACCCTATCCCCACCTTGCCCACATTTAATAAAAACCTTCCACCCAGGCCCCACTGGGCTGCCTCATTCTCCGAGGCACCTGCTCTCACTTCTCGAGCGCAGACTATCACTTTAATAAATTTACTGCGCTTTGCTAAATCCGTCTGTCATGCTCTTGGATCAGGTTGAGGCCTCCCTTGGCCTCCCCGGGTATCACCTGGCGTCCCTCATACTGTCTGAAACTCCACCTAGAAGTACAGAGGACTAACAATGTAAAACCTCTCAATACACACAGAAAAATAATGCTATCCTCAGAGAATGAGCACCCAAATCCAATAAAGGTAATCAAACTGTAACATCATGGAGACACGACTGGATTACAGTAAACTGATAAAAATATATGGTAATAATAATAACAGGCCCTAGCCAGTTTGGTTCAGTGGTTAGAGCGTCGACCTGCAGACCAAAGGGTCCCGGGTTCGATTCTGGCCAAGGGTACATACCTCAGTTGAAGACTCAATCCCTGGCCTCGGTTGGCGCAAGAGCAGGAGGCAACCAATCAACATGTCTCTCTCACATCAATGTCTCTATCTCTTTCTCTCTCCTCCTTCTACTCTGTCTGAAAAGTAATGGAAAAAAATATCCTTGTGTAACGATAAAATAATAATAATAACAACAACAACAACAGGAGCATCTCCATGGTAGTTTTAAAGAAAGGTCAGTTCTGAATTTTGACTCTAGTACACATGAAGAAAATACCACAGCCCATAAACATGAGTATCAGATCCATGAAGCCAAAAGATTCTCAAAATGGAGAAAGATGCATCAGTGTGTCACAGCCTGATGATAATACAACTAATTCCCTGAGCTCTGGTTCTAAACTTAACAGACAACATTCTTAGTATAAACTGTCTTCTCAAGTATATTAATGTAATGTTTTCAACCTCTCCTCTCCAATATTAACTAAAGGGTTCAATATACTCCCACCACTAAGTAATTCACTAGGGCAGTCATTTTTCACTAATTTTTTATTTTTTTGAGAGAGAGAGTGAGGAAGGGAGCAAGATGGAGAGAGAAAGAGAGACATCAATCAGTTGCCTCCTGTGTGAGCCCTGACCGGGAATCAAACCCAAAACCAGTGGGATGACGCTCCAACCGAGCCAGGGCAGAGCAGGAGGCATTCACAAGGAACTGTTTATTTTAAAAAGCACCCAAAATCCTTGAGATTCTTACGAGTTCCTTCTACGCTCTGCCAATGTTGCTCACTGGTTGAGCACTGACCCGTAAGCCTGGAGGTCACGGTTCAATTTCACCATCAGGGCACATGCCCGGGTTGCAGGCTCAATCCCCAGTAGGGGGCATGCAGAAGGTGGCCAATCAATGATTCTCTCTCATCACTAATGTTTCTATCTCTCTTTCCCTCTTCCCTCCTCTCTCTGAAGTCACTAAAAACATATTAAAAAAAAAAAAAAAAAAAGAGTTCCTTCTACTAGTTGGGAATTATGGACCTACATAGAAAACGGATTCACTAATTCAGTGAATCTGATAATCACATTTCTCTTTGCAAATTAAAATTCTGACCCTTTGGTCTGCACATATCAGTTTCTATTTTATAGAAACTGATTAATGTGAGGTTAATGTGAGGTATACTGAGAGGTAGAGACATTTAATGTGTCAAAAAATCAGTCATGCATATTTAATATGAGTTAGAAACTTATGACACTAAAACTAGAATGGACCTTAAATGGAGGTCCCCTAATCCAATCTATCCTAACACTGCCTCAATGAAAGAATCCTTTCTCTATTTCTGACAGTGATTTAACTTGGCTTCTACCTAGCACCTGAGAATAACTACACTGATAGTTGATCCCAGAAATGGGGAGGAAAGAACACAGTCTCTCATTTCTAAAGGTAAGCAAACCTGACAGAGTAGGGCACTTTGGTGAAAGAGGCCATGAGACATTCTTTGGGAAGTAAAAATGCAGGGTGGGAGAAGACAGAAGATCAAAAAGAAAATGGGCAAAAGGACCTGAACAGGGACTTCACGAAAGGAATCCAAAAAAAGAAATGACAAATTAATTAATTAATTAAATAAAGGAGCACAATCTCATTAGCAATCAGGGAAATACAAATTAAAAACATAAAGGTATTAAACATTCAGCAGGATGACAAAAATTAGGAAGCTGAACAATACTAAATATTGGCAAAGATATGGAGTAGTAACAGCTCGAGTACTCTGTGGGGAATGTAAATTGGTAAAAACACTTTGGAAAACAACCATCATACATATACCCCACAACCTAAAAATTTTACTTTATTCCTAGAGAAAATCTTGCATGTGTGTAACAGGATTCATGTTCACAGCAGAGCTGTTTTTACAGCAAGTAAGCTAGAAACTACTCAAAATTTGATCACAGGTATAGAAAGGACAAATAGTGACATATGAATGCAATTGAATACCATATGGCAATGAAAATGAACAAGCTATAGCTGCATGCAATGTTATGGACAATTTGCATAAACTTACCAAGCAAAAGATGTAAGAGCAAAAAGAATGCAAACAGTTGATTTCATTTATATAACATTCAAACAGACAAAATTAAGTTATATTTCTTAGATATATGTTCATGTATGGTCAAATTATTTTCAGAAAGCAGGAAAATTATTATCACAAGAGTTATTTTATGAGTGATACCTCAGTGGAGTCATTAACTCTAGGGAATGAAATGTAACCTGAGAACTTCTAGAATGAGAGTAATGTTCTCTTTCTTTGACCTGGATGATGGTTACAAAGATGTCAGTCTTAAAACTGTTCTTCAAACTGTATATACGTTTCATATACTTTTCTATAGTTACATCATATGTCAATAAATAATGTTGAAAGAAAGAAGCGTATAAATAAATTTACCCATTTTAAAATTCTACTTAAGGCTAACCGTGCCCTTCCCCGGTGGAAATACCAATTTCTTAAGGAAATGGGAGTCCATATAGAAAAGAGTCCCTTCAAGCTTTAGGACTGCTTATTCTAAGGAGTTGGAGTGTGATGAATGGGCCCTAGACCTAAAGTTAACTACACTTGGCAAACAGGTATGTGAGAAAATATTTTTGGTTATTCAAAACCATATATCCTCAGAGTTTACAGATTATCTTGCTAATGATTTCTCCTTGTATATATAATTTACATTTTAAATCCTCGTTATTTCCAGATTCTTCATACCAACAGCTAAACTCTAAAACATAAGACTTTTTTTTCAATCCTCTGTCCACTGCAGCTCAAGCAAAGTTTCTAGCACACATTTCCATATTGAAGGTTTCTGCAATACAGCTATGTGGCTTTCAATTTCAGTTCTCATTTCTCCAGAAATGAAAACTTTAGCAATTAGATAGCTCTTCTTCCTACATATACAATAAAAAATTTTGCTATAAAAAATGAAATTTTACTGTTATCCCCTCTTTCTCCATTGAAACTTGTGTACAGGATGAAAGTCTGACAAAAATGACAGTACAAAGAAATGGGAGCTAAATGCTTCTAAGACAAAAGGCTTGAAAGATAAACTCATAAAATTTATAATTGGGGAGTTGTTTTTTGTTTTTCTTTTTTTTAAAAAACAAAATGTAAAAAGTCACTCAAGGAATTTAACTTGCAATTTAGAATTTTTAAAACTTTTAATTTTTGAAAACTTTCAAAATCTTACCTAGATATAATAAAGTCCATAAATCTTAGGTGCATATAGTTCAATGTTTACAGATAAACATCGCTGTCACTGCTGCCCAGATGAACATAAAGACTTAAAGCTAGATTTCAAAGTTTTATTAGAAAAAAACATAAACAAGCAAACACGCAAGAGATTTACTACTGCTTCTCTAAACTAAAAGGTCTTTATTTAAATTTTATTTTCATACCTGAAATTCATCTTGATTACTTTGAACATTGCACCATCTGGCAACAGGTTCAGGAACCACTTCCCAGTCCTCGCAGACTTGTTTAAGGATATTCACAAATGTTGACTTCCCTGCAGCTATTGTGAGAGGAAAAGTAAAACTGAGGATGAAAACGTACCAGAAAATTTTTTTAAAAGCCAAAATTGTCTTCAGCTTTTCAAAATTTATAGTCGTGCACAGCATAATGATATTTCGGTCAATGTTGAACCATATATAATATGGTGGTTCCATAAAGACTAAAATGAAGCTGAAAAATTCCTATCACCTAGAGACACATAGCTGTCCTAATGTCTTAACACAATGCATTACTCATGTTTGTGGTCATGCTGGCATAAACAAACCTAGTGCACTGCCAGTCATATAAAAGTATAGCACATACAATTATGTGCAGTACATAATACTTGATGATAATAAATGACTATGTTACTGGTTTACATATTTACTATATGTAATTTTTATTGTTATTTTAGAGTTTACTCTATTAAAAAAAAAACCCACACAAAATAAACAGCCTGGCTCAATTGACTGTCGTCCTGAGCACTGAAGGGTTGCCAGTTCAATTCCATCAGAGCACATGCCTGGGTTGTGGGTTCGATTCCCCAGTCAGGCACATACAGAGGGTAACCGATTAATGTTTCTCTCTCACATACATGTTCTCTCTTTCTCCCCCTTCTTCCCTCTAAGAATGTCTTTGGCGCCTGACTGGCATGGCTCAGTGACTGAGCACCAACCTATGAATCAGGAGGTCATGGTTCGATTCCTGATCAAGGCACATGCCCGGGTTGCAGGCTCGATCCCCAGTAGGGAGAGTACACAAGGCAGCGGATCAATGACTCTCATCACTGATGTTTCTCTCTCTCTCTCCCTCTCCTTTCCTCTCTCTGAAATCAATAAAAAATAAATAAAAAGAATGTCCTTGGTGGGGATTACATAAATAAATAAAACAAAGTTCACTGTAAAGTAGTATGCCATGTTATACCTGCAGCAGCCTCATAAATCTCAGGGTTACCACATCTTTTGATTGCATGATTGTCTCTTGTACTTGACTTAATCTCGTGTCATTTTGTACAGTGACATGCTGGACAGGATTGTAGCCGATGAGCACAAGGCTATCCCATATAGCCCAGGTGCATAGTAGGCTATACCATCTAGGATTTCGTAAATGCCCTCTATGATATTCTCGCCAAGACAAACTCAATGACACATTTCTCAGAACATATTCTCATCATTAAGCAGTACATGACTGTAATAGCAAACAATACATACAACAAAAACATTTAACTTCCTAAACTTTGTTTAGATTTTTTAAAAATTTAATTGAATTTGTTGGGGTGACATTGGTTAATAAAATTCTATCAGTTTCAGGTGTACAATTCATACAATTCATCATACGTATCTTGTATTGTGTGTTCATTACCCCAAGTCCAGTCTCCTTCCATCACGATTTATGCCCCCTTTATTGTCTTCTGCCTCCTCCCACTAGATTTTTTTTTTGATGAAAGCTAAAAAGGGCCCGTCTACTTATATTAAACACAGTAGTTACTGTTTTTAGTTTACCAAAACCATGGAAGAGAAAAATTTTAAATTTGGTGAGATTTTAGGCAAGATGTTATGGCAGAAAAGAATCCTAGTCCTAGACTCACTTTCCTTAACCAAACAATGAGCAATAACTTTGTAGGAACTGGTTAAAGCTATTTTCCACTTAATCAGGTATGTGATTTTGGATAAGTAACTGAACCTCTCTGAGCATGTTTCCCCACAATACAATGGAGACAATAATACCCTCCTAATGGAAACTGCTGTGACAAGCAAGTAAACTATCACTACAGTGACAGTCATTCTATGCTTTTACATTTTCAAAATTTTCTTCTCAATTGGTTCCACTCTCTGTTTACAAACAAACTCAGGTCTTTCTTATCTAAAACTAATTTAGAAACAACCAAATAAAATCAATATAAATACACATCCAATGCCTATAGTTTTAGAATGGAAAGCAGTATATTATTATATGACAGTTATCATATGGCACTATGGTTATAAATTATAAAAACATTTTTGCGAAGTATTTCCTACAAGCAATAGCCATGTTTTATCTGCTTCACTTTCATGGTTCTATGCAGTATGTACTCTATCTAATCCTTAAAAAAAAGTCATCTGATCATTCACTGGTTTCTGAAATATTGGGGGTGGGGGTGGGGTATTCAGGTGTAATCAGAACACATTATATTCATTATTTTTAAATTACCCAGGAATACATTCCATTTAATAGTAGGAAAAGTCTTGACCTAGAATTTAACAGGGTGTAGCAATACTCCTAGAACACCACACCCTTCCTATCTGAGTCACCAAATGTGGTTATATTAGACATCTCTAGTCAGCATAATGTCTCTCTCTCCCTCCCTCCCTCCCTCCCTCTCTCTCTCTCTCTCTATATATATATATATACAGACACACACACATACATATATATACACACAAACACACACAGAGACAAACATAAAAAGCAACCTCAGTATGCTTATAAGAAAAGCCTCCTCTTCCTTATAAACTGGATCCAAACAGGGCAAAAAGAACTTACCTTTGACTTACAAAACTATATTCAAATCTAGGACATTAAATAGGAAAACAGAAAAAAAGAACAAACTGGAAGAACTTTAAAAGACATATATAGAGAAAAAAAAAGAGGAGGTTCAATAGGAAGGTAACAAAACAGTTGAGGAGAAAATTAGATGACTACTGGATCTAATCATGGGAAAAACACTGATGACCACAGAGTTTGCATAGAAAGGGTAAGCACAGGGACTGTAGGACATAAGTGGAAACATAAAATGACCACCAGACATTCACTGAGGTAGATGAAGATGGAAAGGAAAATGTGATGCTCAGGCCCTGGCCACTTCATAAATCTAACGTGAGGGAGTATTTTAGTAACAGAGAACATGAGAAGACGGGTATGTGAGTATAAAACTAAAATGACCAGTTAAGTTTCAAATTCTAGGAAGAAGAAAAGAATCACAATATTGTTTTCTACTCACAGATTAGCAATTTGTACATTTATAGTTTATTTGGGTCTGACAAATTGGAGGGGACACGAACAACAGCACAAGTGCAATAACAAACAACAACTGGCAAAGCCTCAGTGTCAGGAAAGACAGTAAGTGGTAAGAAACAGCCCATCTAAATAGTAAATTGTTGTCTTACAGATGCAGGCTCAGTGTTTGCAGATATTCAAATTTTTCAAAAGAAGTTAAGAATCTAGAATTTAAGGGAAATCATAACATTTAATGCTAACAAGTAACTGAATTTTTTTTTTCTTTAAATCTGTGCAGGCCAATATTGTATAAATGCAGGCCATCAGTTTGCAACTCCTGTTGTAGGTAAAGGGGAAGTCAGAAGAATTTTAAGCAGGGGACAACACAATTACAGTAGCACCCCCTCATCCACAGGAGATAATAGTTCCAAGATCCCCAGAGGATGCCTGAAACTGCAGCACCCAAACCCTATATATAAGTTGACCCTTGAACAACACAGGGGTTAAGGGCGCTCACCCCCCCTCCTTGGTGGGAAATCTGCATATAATTTTTGCCTCCCCCAAAACTTAAGTTGTCCCTTGGTACCCAGGGGGATTAGCTTCAGGACCCCATGGATACTATAATCTGTGGAAGCATACAGTCAGCCCTCAGCATCCACAGACTCCCAACCACAGAAACAGTACAGGTATTTCATTGGCGGGAAATCTACATATAAGTGAACCTGTGCAGTTCAAATGTGTGTTGTTCAAGGGTCCAACTGTATATGGATCTTTTCCACCGGGGCCTTAATACTGGAGCAATGAAACAAGACATTCTCTTTGACAGTATGTTCCGCTTTTTTCTGTTCCTTGGAATGCTGCTAAAACACCTGCTCGCCTTGCTTTTTAAAAGTCCAAGTGCTTTATAAAAATTTTTTAAAAGTCCAAGTGCTTTGAATGTGGTAAGAATTCAAAAACATTTGCTGTATGCATGAATGGGTAGTACCTAACTTGGATACAAAAAAAATTCTTTCAAAACAAGAAATGTCAGGCATAGGCTTCCTGTGGTAGGAAACATGCAAGAACGGGAAGATCAGCTGCATCTTGCAAAACGCATTAATGGTGTAGTCTGTCCCCACCTGGGGAGAGAACAGAACCTGTGACGGTCTTTGAATCATAATCCAAAGTTTACTTAGATATAGGGTAGGCAGCGCGGAAATCCATGCTGTCAAGGTCATTAAAAGCCTCTTTCCTTGTCCTCCAATATTTACAGCCGTTTTATGTGTAATCGCTAAACATTGGAAACAAGCCACAGCTAGGGAAGGGATGAACTGTGGTATCACCATGCAGTGGACTACCACTCGGCAGTAAAGGGAGAACGACCGAAACACGCAACGCGAGCGACTCTGAAAGCATCACGCTGGGTTAAAGCGGCCAGGCTCCAAAGGCCGCGCGCCGGTTCCCGCACGGGCCCTTCCGGAAGGGGCGAGCATGCGGGGAGCTCGGGGAGCGCTCGCCGCACCGGAAGGGAAGGGGGCCGAGTACGCGGCGGCACCCCAGTCTCGAGGGCCGCAGGCTCCCGGTCCTGACCGTGCCGCCGGCAAAACGACCTGTTTGCCGAGCCTCACGGAAGAGGACACCTGCAAAGGGGTAATTTAACGTGTCAACTGCACCCCAAGAATGGACACAACCCCCCAAAAACCTTCCCTCTGCGGCATCCCAACAAAAAGATGAAACCGGCCCAAAGCGGTTCCGGTTCGGGCGCCCGGCCT